AATCATCTAGTCCTTTTATACAGCACCAAATGCACACTGTACTAATAAACAGGTTAAGAATACTAGTAAAAGTGAGATCAATATTCCTATAAACAATTGCTTAAGCCAAGAAAAGTTGGGTAACCAAAAGATCATTTTGTTTCATAGTTCTTGAAAACCCCATGAGGTGTCATCTTGAACTACCTTATATAAGATCTCTGTCTTTTCCAAACTTTTTTTTAACTTTTTTTTTTTTTTTTTTTTTTGAGATCAGTCTCAATTTGTCCTGCCTCATTTACATACATACAGCAATAGAGCAACTAATATTTCTTAAAGTGCATCCTCCCTCTTGGGAGACTAATAAAAGGTCTAGTGCCTACAACGTTCTAATTGGTGTTATAAATGAAGTCTCAACTCAATCTGAATTTAGTAATATTTATAAAAGACAAGTAAACGGCACTGGGTGTACGGGGAGTCTATGCACTACCAACACGCACACATGAACATCGAACATTCTAAATATACAGAACATAGTATTTCTGTATACAGAAATATACAGAACCGAGTAAGTACAAAGGGTGAGAGTAAGACTACGAGCCTTCAGCATGAAAGACCCCTAGAGACCCCCAGAGGAGACTGATGCGCATGCTCCAGTAGGAGGAACTGGACCCCGGAAGCTAATTATAATAATCTATTTTTTTTAGAAGTAGTAATGAATATGTATTAGTCTAGGTGCATAAAAATCAGCTGCTTGATGTAACTGGTGAGTGTTCTGGTGGAGCGGAGACTCCCGGTGCACCCAGCGCTGTTTGCTTACCTCTATTCCTTTATATTACTTTAATAAATCCTATTTTTCATTTAATCCTAAATTGAATCCTGAGCCATTTATAACAGCGTCAAGCGTCCATGAAGCAGCCTCTGGAGCTGCATGGGGTCCAGCTCCCCACAGGGTGCTAGCAGGTCATCATCTGCCATCAGCAGAGCGCTCTCGCTGTGCATGAAGATCTCTGTCATGTCCGTAGATCAGCAGTCTTTTCAGCTGATCTCGCACCACCTCGAACTTCTGCAGCTTTGGCATATGGGTCGCGCTTCAGATGCTGGAAGAGGTTGACCGGGCCAGACAACTGGAAGGCTGGTGGCAGGACAATCACATCGGGCACCATCTCGTTGCCAAAGAAGTGGTTGAGACATTTCTCTTCCACACAGCAGCGAAGGTACCAACTGATATCATCCAGCCAAAGCAGAAAATCCGTCCCGTGCCACATTTCCAAGGGGATGGTGGCAGCAAGGGTCCCTGGCAGCAGGGACTGTGGCCAGGACTGGTGGTGACAGCCACCTGCCCTGCCCTGAGCGGCTGGGCCCTGGCTGCAGGCTTAGCAAGGCCTCGGGGGGCAGCTTTTGTGCCCCAGCCCTGTGCTGCCCAGCCTTCCCCCTGCTGCTGCACTCGCCTCACAGATGGCTCAGGCCAGACTGCAGCATGGCCCTGAGGGGAGCAGGGACATTCCTGACAGGCACCAAGGGCCCTGAGGTGGACAGGGATGTTCCTGACAGGCCCCAGCGGCCTTTGGGGGGGGCTGGGACATTCTTGACAGACCCCAGAGGCCGTAGTGTACTGTAATGCCGTCAAACTATATAGGGGCAGAACCCATCTGTATTTATGGGGTGACAGGGGGATCCCAGAAGTTTACTGTACTGGAGGATGAAGCGAGTCTAACTGGAAATAAGTGGCAAAAGCAGCGTATTGTGACAGGCCCGGATGCTCCATGCATCCTTGACGTATACTATCTCAGGAGAGGATATTTCAAGGACCCAAAATGGTACCGGTGGGCTTTTGGCATAGCTGCCTTAGAGACAGAGGACATTAAACAGTTGTCTACGTTGCCCAGTCTCTGGGAGGACCCTTCTGTTGGGTTGCTGAGCGTCAAAGAACAGCAGGTGCCAATTGCCACCACAGCTGTGCACCGGCAGCAATATGGCACCAATTGAGACCCCCCATTCTCATCCATAAGCTAATTCATCAACTGAAGAGCCACGGGATGATCAGCAAGATTCACTCACCCTTTCATAGTCCCATATGGCCAGTGCGAAGGTCTAATGGTGAGTGGACTATCGTGGCCTGAATAAAGTCATGCCACTGCTGAGTGCTGCGGTGCCTGACATGCTAGAACTCCAGTACGAACTGGAATCAAAGGCAGCCAAGTGGTATGCTGCAATTGAGATAGCTAATTGATATAGCTAATTGAGATAGCTAATGCATTTTCCTCCATCCCTTTGGCAGCAGAGTGCAGGCCACAGTTTGCTCTTACTTTGAGGGGTGTCTAATACACCAGGAATCGACTGCCCCAGGGGTGGAAACAAAGCCCTACCATACCTAGACTACATGATGTGGACACCGTTTGATTTGCACACCATGGAAGAACTGCCTGTGTTCTGCAGTGTATGAGTGCAAAGAGGAAGGACCCTGGGCTTTTAGAGCACTGGCACATTTATATCTCTCTTGGTATGACAGTTACAGAACACCTCTCAAGCGTTTTCCCATATTGTGTAGGGTGTGGAAAAGGCTCAGAACCAGCAGAGAGAGGAAGACTGCCACAGACATAGCATGGGGGAGTTGAGAGAGAAGAAGCTTCTTGGATCAGCTCCTCAGCAAAATGCTCCCCGATGCTGTGGCAGCCAAGCTGTCAGCATCTCATGCCTGCCTGTCCTGACCAAGAGTGATACAGACACTCACGGACAAAGCATTTGTTTAAGCAAGCAATATATTAGGGTTTTGGGGAGGCCGAGCTCCCGGAGTGAATGGACAATGTGCAAGAGCTAGATGGTCACTGTCCAGCTGGTAACAAAGCCTCTGCTTCAAGCAGCAGCATGGGGTGTGCCTCCCGCAAGGGTGGTTTTGCTGTGGAGAGAACACGGAGGAGCAATTCCCACTGCCAACTGAGTCCTTGGATGGTCGTCCGGCATACTCTGGTGGTCTCTTGATGAAGGCCAGAAGTCTTCCTCACTGCTAAACTTCTGACCTTTCCTGTCTTTAACAGACTTCAGCAGCCAAGCCAGTTTATGCTGGTTCCATGATCTATGCATACAGTCTTTTATGCCCTTGTCTTTGGGTTGTTAATTGTGGTCACTAAGACCTACAGGATCACCATTCTTTATCTTGTTCCCTGTCTCAAGACCCCCCTTTTCTTTATCCTAAGGCAAATTCTTTTGCTTACAGCACTCACTGATTCAAAATTTTCATAAAATTCTTACCGCTTTCTACATGGTGACTGATTCGGTTACACTTTCAGATTTCATAATCATCTAGTCCTTTTATACAGCACCAAATGCACACTGTACTAATAAACAGGTTAAGAATACTAGTAAAAGTGAGATCAATATTCCTATAAACAATTGCTTAAGCCAAGAAAAGTTGGGTAACCAAGAGATCATTTTGTTTCATAGTTCTTGAAAACCCCATGAGGTGTCATCTTGAACTACCTTATATAAGATCTCTGTCTTTTCCAAACTTTTTTTTTTAACTTTTTTTTTTTTTTTTTTGTGATCAGTCTCAATTTGTCCTGCCTCATTTACATACGTACAGCAATACAGCAACTAATATTTCTTAAAGTGCATCCTCCCTCTTGGGAGACTAATAAAAGGTCTAGTGCCTACAACGTTCTAATTGGTGTTATAAATGAAGTCTCAACTCAATCTGAATTTAGTAATATTTATAAAAGACAAGTAAACGGCACTGGGTGTACGGGGAGTCTATGCACTACCAACACGCACATATGAACATCGAACATTCTTAATATACAGAACATTGCTTTTACATACTAAACCTGATGTCCAATCAGAAAAGGCGACAAACAATGCTTTAAGTCGATTACTACCAATGTCCATGACTGGGGCAGCACAGTTGGTCTGGTTGAAGTGCTCCCATATCTTCCATGACTTATAACAGTCTCTATTTTCTATTCCTTTTCTTGATTACAAACACCGGAGAATTCCAGGGCTACTTGTGGGAACAATATGTTGTGCTTTAAGTTGTTAAGTAACTCGGCCTTCAGGTCTCATGCATCCCAGTCTTCCCGGATTGAAGGGAAACAGTTCCAGCTCCCTTTCAAGGCCAACAGGGCCTGGATCAAAAGGCACGTCCAGGTCACCAGAGGGTGTAACAGCAAAGTCATGGCAGTAGCGGTGGGGGAGCCGATGGTGTAGCAGAAGGATCTGTGGACGAGCCCGCAGCTCCCTCGCTGTCTGGCAAACCACACGTTTCTGACTGTGGTCCCACGTGGCTCTTTAAGGCCTCAGAGATTGCTCGCCAGGTGCCGAGCAATCCCACTGCAACCTGGTCGATTTTATTAGCAGAGTCCAACACCTTGACCTCAATTTGGTCCCATGTTTCAGGATCATAAACTGTCTGATTGTTAATAAAGGGAATAAGCTGTAAGGTTACCAGGACAGTCTTTGTTTCTAAGGACGTATGATTCCCCATAATGCGCAGCTGCTTACCAGCGAGGGGCAGTTGTGTGCTCGGCTCCGCTTCTCTCAGCTCGAGCTTCTTCCCAGCTGAGGTGCGCCCATTTCCAGAGACTTTCTGTACGAGCTTCTTTGAGCGGTTTGCTGAGTTTGGCCGAACCTATCTTCATGAGGCGATCAATGTGCCTGTTCCTGCCTTGGTCCCTGTTCTGCTAGCCTGTCCCTATTCAATCCTTCTTTCTACTTCTTTATTGATGAAATAACTTCATTGTGTTGCCTTCTTCATCTTGAGGACAGGCTCCCCTCTTACACCCTTCACCCCACAGCAGTCCTTTTCAAAACAACTTTTCACTGGTCAAACAACTTTGCCCGGCAACAGCAAACACCCAGCAACTTCCATGCCTTAATGGCTGGAGAACAAGCAACCCGAGAGGGCAAGGCGTCTCCTGAATCACCCTTCTTTGTTCCCTCTAAACTCTTTACATTCCTGATGGCCTCATCGTTGAGAGTCTGATGTAATCATCAACCATGGGGCTTGCCGACCCCCATGGCCACACTCCCACATCTCCCCCTTCTTTATTAATATCAACCATCTTCTTGACATGAATTATTACTCCATATATCACATTGATCTGTTCTAGTTGCTTGCCCAAAACTGTATGTTGTTGTTGTTGCAAATATTGGTTTCCTACTTGGGTTAGATCTTCTCATTTGTATGGCATTTGGTAAGGACTGCCATAGAATATCTCTAAGGGTCTTAGTTTTACCAATACATATTGGTTTCTAGACAGATTTTAGCAATCTGCTCTTTTATCAAATGATTCATTTGTTTCCACTTGGCCTATTGCCTGTGGCCCATACGGAGTGTGTTGTTGCCAGTCAATCCCCAGCACTTCGCTGACTTGTTGGGTCAGTTCTGAACTGAAGTGTGGTCCCCTGTCAGATGACATTACTGAGAGTACACCAAATCTCGGAATAATGTAATTCAACAATACTTTGGACACTTCTCTGGCTTTGTTAGTTCTACATGGGAATGCTCCTGGCCATCTGGAAAAGGTGTCTGTTAGTATCAATAGGCATCTGAACCCCCCTTTTCTTGGGACTTCTAAGAAACCAATTTGCCACTGTTTCCCAGGAATGTTTCCCTTCCCTATTGTTCATATTTGGGGGTTGATTCCCATCTGTGGATTCTTTTTAAGACATATGACACCTTGTTGCGATACTTGTCTGACAAATGAGGGCCAATCCATTTTCTACTTAAAAACTGTTATAATATTTCAGCTCCCCAGCATGCTTTACTATGTTCTCCAATAACCATCTAATACAACGTGGTATCACAACTCTCCCATTATTTATTTGTGTTAAACCTCTAGATAACATTTTCCATTTACATCTTCAATTAATTGCTTATAAATCTTAGAGTATTCTACTTCATTTTCTAAGGCTTTTGTTAATGCCTCAGAAAATGTGTTAGTTAATGCCTTTGATGCTGGGAGAGAAGAAGCTTATTGGATCAGCTCCACAGCTAAATGCTCCCCGATGCTGTGGCAGCCAAGCTGTCAGCATCTCATGCCCGCCTGTCCTCACCAAGAGTGATACAGACACTCACACACACAGCATTGTTCAAATAAGCAAAGTATTGGTATTTTTGCAGAGGTCAAAGCTTCGGTGGTGAATGAACGCTTCCCGAGAGGCTGGGTAGTCGCTGTCCAGCTGGTAACAAAGCCTCTGCTTTCAGCCTCCCGCAAGGGTGGTTTTGCTGTGGAGAGAACACGGAGGAGCAATTCCCACTGCCAACTGAGCAGCATCTTCTCCATGTCCAGCATGCTCAGCTCCGAGGCATGTGGCAAGCAGGATGTCCGTCAGGCATCTTCATAGCTGCCACAATCATTGCTGGCTTTGGGGCTGGAAATCCCTCCTGTGCATGCTTCCCAAGGGGATGGTGGTCAGGAGGTGCGTGACAGCTGTCTTCAAGGCATGGGTGGCAAAGTTGGCGCCTAAGAGGATACAGTCACGGAGCTGCAGATGTCCGACGTGGAAGGTGTTGTGCCGACCATGCCTACGTGTGTCCTGAAGAACTGCATGTCTGGCACAGCGCAGCTCTGTGGCCACTTCATGCTGCTGCTAACAACGCGCTCTGCCTACTCGAAGCTCATGAAGGGGTCTGAGTTGTCTTGCTGTACCCCAAGCATCATCTCGATGGAGCGTGAGCTTGCAGAAGCGGGTGGAGGGCAGCACCGTTAGCTGGAGTTAGGATGACTGAGGCGCAGCCACCCAGGCTTCTGTCACCAGTTCCTGGAACCACTTTGCTGTCTTCAGTATGTTAAGCAGACAAGGGGAAGCTCCCACTGTCCCAAAATAAGGAGGATCCAAGCCCAGGTGGTATCAGGAGTGGTTGGTGTCAAGCCTCTGGAGCTGCATGAGGTCCGTCTCTCCACAGCATGCTAGCAGTTCATCACTGGCGATCAGCACGGCGCCTTCGCCGTGCACGATGTTTTCTTTCATGTCCGTAGGTTATCAGTCTTCTGAGCCGCTCTCGCACCACCTCGAACTTCTGCAGTGCATCAGCTCTGGCATATTGGTTCCGCTTCAGATGCTCGAAGAGGTTGATTGGCTCAGAATTTTGGAAGGATGGTGGCAGGACAATCACATCGGGCACCATCTCATTGCCAAAGAAGAAGTGGTCGAGGCGCTTCTCCCTCACACAGCCACGCAGGCACCGCATTATATTATCCATCCGAAGCAGAAAATCCGTCTTGTGCCACATTGCCATGGGGATGTTGGTCAGGAGGTGCATGACAATAGTCTTGACGACATAGGTGGGAAAGACTGTGCCCTCCACCAAATGGGCACAGACCTGCATGCACTTGAGGTGTATGCTGTTGAACATGCCTTCTCTGGCCACATGCTGGAAGAACTTCCTTTCTGCAACTGAACAGCTCTGTGGCCATGTTGTGCTGGGGATGGAGGTGTCCTTTCTCATCTGGCTGCTCAGGAAGATATCGGAATCCTCTTGCTGCACCCCAAATACTATTTCAATTGTGAGTCTTCTCCTGGCAGCACCTGTCAGCTGGAACTTGCACGTGCGGGTGGAAGGCAGCACTTCTACATTGTAAACCTGTGACTGAGGCATAAGCACCCAGGCTGATTTCACAAAGTTCTGGAACCACCTTGCAGTCTTCTCCGCATCGAGGTAGGAGTCGGTGCAGAGGGTGCTTAGGAGGCTCGGCTCCTGCTTTTTCAGCTCCTCCTCAGAATGGTGGAGGAAGCACAGCATGTCCCCAAAGTCCTGCTCCCTCTCGCACGTGCACTCCAGCTCCACACGGATAGAGGACTTCCTCGCCAGCAGATCCTCTTCATTGCCCAGCTCCAGGTGGAAGGAGTGCCCACGGGGTGCTGTCATGGGCACAAGTAGGCGGTAGACAGGATCCTTCATGTGGGGATTCCAACCTTCAAAGGCACCGCCCACTCCGATGGCTCGCTGCAGATTCGGGAAGAAACTACTTAGGACGACTGAGTCAAAGATATGCAGGAGGTCTCCCACAATCTCCTCCACCAGTGCGCATCTGACGGTCGGATCCGGGAATGGCCAGTAGACACGCTCAGCTATAAATCTGGGCAGATCTCTTGCATCATTGGGGGGTGGTGGTACTCTCACTTCCTCCTCTTCACTGCTGGAGCTCTCCTCCTCACTGCCATGTTCTGGGATATCTCTAAGGAGCAGCCACACGTTCCAAATAAACAGGAGAGCAACAACAACACCGGCCCAGAACTGCCAGTACTGTGTGGCAGATAAGAGCAGGGCTCCCATATGCATCGAGCTCTGCTGCTTCTCTAGCGCCTCAATTTCCAACAGGAGCTGCGCCATGCGTTCTTGCATCTCCTCCGCATACCGCCGCATGCGCGCATTTGTAGCTTCATCCAATTCATCCCCGACTTTCTGTGGGCTGATGACTATGCCCAAAAACGCCAGGAAATAGAAAGCTGCCGAAACCATGGTCTGAAAGAGAGAGAAGCACGTCAGTGGGGCTGGGTGGGAGCTGGATGGCGGCTGAGGGAGCTGCGGCACGAGCCTCAGGCCCCTGCGGTCAGGAAGGAGAGGGGGCGAGGGAGCTGGGAGGCAGCAGGGACTGTGGGCAGTGCCAGCGGGGACAGCCACGAGCCCTGCCCTGGCCCAACCCAGTCTTCCCCCTTCTGCTGCACTAACCGATGGCTTAGGCCAAAGTGAAGCAGCGCTGCCCGCGGCTGCCTTTAAAGCCTCCCCCCCATTGTGACACGTCCTCTGTGATGTCACCTGCGCCCACACTGCATCACAGGACCCCCGCCCCACCCTCGGTGCCCACCGCACGTCCCACGTAGTATAATACCCAATTTGGAAAACAGGCGCAGCAGAGTTGAGATTAAAGCAATCAGCATTATGACAAGTGACTATTAAGCATGTCTAATACTTATACCAATTTTAGTTTAACACACTCTGGTCAGATCTGCCGTTATCTCAACTTTTCGGGCCCCACGTTGGGCACCAAAAAGAATGTCGTGGTTTAACCCGGCCGGCAGCTAAACACCACGCAGCCGTTCGCTCACCCTCCCCCTCCCTCTCTGGGACGGGGGAGAGAAATGGAAAGTGAAGCCCGTGAGTTGAGATAAAGACAGTTTAATAAGACAGGAAAATAATAATAATAATAATAATAATAATAATAATAATAATAATAATAATAATAATAATAATAATACAATGACGACGATAGTACTAACACTAATAATAGGTACAAACAAGTGATGCACAATGCAATTGCTCACCACCCGCTGACCGATGCTCAGCCTAACCCTGAGCAGTCCGGCCCCCTCCCCCGGCTAGCCACCCCTATATATTGTTTAGCATGACGTCAGATGATATGGAATACCCCTTTGGCTAGTTTGGGTCACCTGTCCTGGGTCTGTCCCCTCCCAGCTCTTACTGCACCCCCAGCCTGCCCGTTGGCAGGACAGAGCAAGAAACTGAGATGTTCTTGGCTTAGTATAAGCACTGCTCTGCAACAATTAAAGCATCGGGGTGTTATCAGCACTCTTCTCATCCTAAGCCAAAACATAGCATTCCACCAGCTCCTAGGAAGAAAATTAATTCTGTTCTAACTGAAACCAGGACATGGGGCCACAGTCAGAAATGTGTGGTTTGCCAGACAGCGAGGGAGCTGCGAGCTCGTCCACAGATCCTTCTGCTACACCATCGGCTCCCCCACCGCTACTGCCATGACTTTGCTGTTACACCCTCTGGTGACCTGGACGTGCCTTTTCATCAAGGCCCTATTGGCCTTGAAAGGGAGCTGGAACTGTTTCCCTTCAATCTGGAAAGACTGGGATGCATGAGACCTGAAGGCCGAGTTACTTAACAACTTAAAGCACAACATATTGTTCCCACAAGTAGCCCTGGAATTCTCCGGTGTTTGTAATCAAGAAAAAGAATAGAAAATAGAGACTGTTATAAGTCATGGAAGATATGGGAGCACTTCAACCAGACCAACTGTGCTCCCCCAGTCACGGACATTGATAGTAATAGACTTAAAGCATTGTTTGTTGCCTTTTCTGATTGGACATCAGGTTTAGTATGTAAAAGCAATGTTCTGTATATTTAGAATGTTCGATGTTCATATGTGCGTGTTGGTAGTACATAGACTCCCCATATACCCAGTGCCGTTTACTTGTCTTTTATAAATATTACTAAATTCAGATTGAGTTGAGACTTCATTTATAACACCAATTAGAACGTTGTAGGCACTAGACCTTTTATTAGTCTCCCAAGAGGGAGGATGCACTTTAAGAAATATTAGTTGCTGTATTGCTGTACGTATGTACATGAGGCGGGACAAATTGAGACTGATCTCAAAAAAAAAAAAAAAAAAAAAAAGTTAAAAAAAAAGTTTGGAAAAGACCGAGATCTTATATAAGGTAGTTCAAGATGACACCTCATGGGGTTTTCAAGAACTATGAAACAAACTGATCTTTTGGTTACCCAACTTTTCATGGCTTAAGCAATTGTTTATAGGAATATTGATCTCACTTTTACTAGTATTCTTAACCTGTTTATTAGTACAGTGTGCATTTGGTGCTGTATAAAAGGAGTAGATGATTATGAAACCTGAAAGTGTAACCAAGTCAAGCACCATGTAGAAAGTGGTAAGAATTTTATGAAAACTTTGAATCAGTGAGTGCTGTAAGCAAAAGAATTTGCCTTAGGATAAAGAAAAGGGGGGACTTGAGACAGGGAACAAGATAAAGAATGGTGATTCTGTAGGTCTTAGCTACCACAATTAAGAACCCAAAGACAAGGGCATAAAAGACTGTATGCATAGATAACGGAACCAGCATAAACTGGCTTGGCTGCTGAAGTCTGTTAAAGACAGGAAAGGTCAGAAGTTTAGCAGTGAGGAAGACTTCTGGCCTTCATGAAGAGACCACCAGAGTATGCCGGACGACCATCCAAGGACTCAGTTGGCAGTGGGAATTGCTCCTCCGTGTTCTCTCCACAGCAAAACCACCCTTGCGGGAGGCACACCCCATGCAGCTGCTTGAAGCAGAGGCTTTGTTACCAGCTGGACAGTGACCATCTAGCTCTTGCACATTGTCCATTCACTCCGGGAGCTCGGCCTCCCCAAAACCCTAATATATTGCTTGCTTAAACAAATGCTTTGTCCGTGAGTGTCTGTATCACTCTTGGTCAGGACAGGCAGGCATGAGATGCTGACAGCTTGGCTGCCACAGCATCGGGGAGCATTTTGCTGAGGAGCTGATCCAAGAAGCTTCTTCTCTCTCAACTCCCCCATGCTATGTCTGTGGCAGTCTTCCTCTCTCTGCTGGTTCTGAGCCTTTTCCACACCCTACACAATATGGGAAAACGCTTGAGAGGTGTTCTGTAACTGTCATACCAAGAGAGATATAAATGTGCCAGTGCTCTAAAAGCCCAGCATCCTTCCTCTTTGCACTCATACACTGCAGAACACAGGCAGTTCTTCCATGGTGTGCAAATCAAACGGTGTCCACATCATGTAGTCTAGGTATGGTAGGGCTTTGTTTCCACCCCTGGGGCAGTCGATTCCTGGTGTATTAGACACCCCTCAAAGTAAGAGCAAACTGTGGCCTGCACTCTGCTGCCAAAGGGATGGAGGAAAATGCATTAGCTATCTCAATTAGCTATATCAATTAGCTATCTCAATTGCAGCGTACCACTTGGCTGCCTTTGATTCCAGTTCGTACTGGAGTTCTAGCATGTCAGGCACCGCAGCACTCAGCAGTGGCATGACTTTATTCAGGCCACGATAGTCCACTCACCATTAGACCTTCACACTGGCCATATGGGACTATGAAAGGGTGAGTGAATCTTGCTGATCATCCCGTGGCTCTTCAGTTGATGAATTAGCTTATGGATGAGAATGGGGGGTCTCAATTGGTGCCATATTGCTGCCGGTGCACAGCTGTGGTGGCAATTGGCACCTGCTGTTCTTTGACGCTCAGCAACCCAACAGAAGGGTCCTCCCAGAGACTGGGCAACGTAGACAACTGTTTAATGTCCTCTGTCTCTAAGGCAGCTATGCCAAAAGCCCACCGGTACCATTTTGGGTCCTTGAAATATCCTCTCCTGACATAGTCTACGTGAAGGATGCATGGAGCATCCGGGCCTGTCACAATACGCTGCTTTTGCCACTTATTTCCAGTTAGACTCGCTTCATCCTCCAGTACAGTAAACTTCTGGGATCCCCCTGTCACCCCATAAATACAGATGGGTTCTGCCCCTATATAGTTTGACGGCATTACAGTACACTGCGGCCTCTGGGGTCTGTCAGGAATGTCCCGGCCCCCCCCCAAAGGCCGCTGGGGCCTGTCAGGAACATCCCTGTCCACCTCAGGGCCCTTGGTGCCTGTCAGGAATGTCCCTGCTCCCCTCAGGGCCATGCTGCAGTCTGGCCTGAGCCATCTGTGAGGCGAGTGCAGCAGCAGGGGGAAGGCTGGGCAGCACAGGGCTGGGGCACAAAAGCTGCCCCCCGAGGCCTTGCTAAGCCTGCAGCCAGGGCCCAGCCGCTCAGGGCAGGGCAGGTGGCTGTCACCACCAGTCCTGGCCACAGTCCCTGCTGCCAGGGACCCTTGCTGCCACCATCCCCTTGGAAATGTGGCACGGGACGGATTTTCTGCTTTGGCTGGATGATATCAGTTGGTACCTTCGCTGCTGTGTGGAAGAGAAATGTCTCAACCACTTCTTTGGCAATGAGATGGTGCCCGATGTGATTGTCCTGCCACCAGCCTTCCAGTTGTCTGGCCCGGTCAACCTCTTCCAGCATCTGAAGCGCGACCCATATGCCAAAGCTGATGCGCTGCAGAAGTTCGAGGTGGTGCGAGATCAGCTGAAAAGACTGCTGATCTACGGACATGACAGAGACCTTCATGCACAACGAGAGCGCTCCGCTGATGGCAGATGATGACCTGCTAGCACCCTGTGGGTAGCTGGACCCCATGCAGCTCCAGAGGCTGCTTCATGGACGCTTGACACAGAGACTCCTCATAGCAAGTGGGCTTGGTTCTTGGCCTGTCCATTTCACTGGGAGCTTGGCCTCTGCAAAGATTCCAATAAATGTCTTGCTTGAACAAACTCTTTGTCTGTGAGTGTCCTCCTCGAGCCGCTGGGGCCTGTCAGGAACGTTCCTCGTCCCTTCAGAGCCGTTGGGGCCTGTCAGGAACGTTCCCTCTCCTGTTAGGGCCGTTGGGACCTGTCAGGAACTTTCTGGAACCGCTTAGGACTGTTGGGGCCATTGCTCCCCCGTCCCTCTGTTGGGACCGCTACTCCCCCCATCAGGGCTGCTCCCCCAGCTCCTCTCCAGCACTGGCATCCCCCAGTGTCACTGCCTGGCCCTGGATGGCAGTGCCTCAGCTCTTGCCAGGGAGTTTTCAGGATCAGTCTGTGTTAACCAAGCAACAGAAAGAGCTGGAGGTCTGGATGAGAGACAAGAACTGGTACTGGACACATTTATGAAGACAATAATGCAGTCTGCACAGCCCTCTGCACCCCAACAATTAGCACCATGAATTTAGACTTTACCAGTAATCCGCATCAAAGCACG